ACCATTCCCAACCATTCCTGACCACTCCCAACCATTCCCACATCATTCCCGCCCATTCCCACACCATTCCCAACCATTCCTGACCATTCCCAACCATTCCTGACCATTCCCAACCATTCCTGACCACTCCCAACCATTCCCACATCACTCCCGCCCATTCCCACACCATTCCCAACCATTCCTGACCATTCCCAACCATTCCTGACCATTCCCAACCATTCCTGACCATTCCCACCCATTCCTGACCATTCCTGACCATTCCCGACCATTCCCACATCATTCCCGCCCATTCCCAACCATTCCCGCACCATTCCCGCACCATTCCTGCCCATTCCCACATCATTCCCGCCCATTCCCACACCATTCCCAACCATTCCCGACCATTCCCAACCATTCCCGACCATTCCCACATCATTCCCGCCCATTCCCACCCATTCCTGCCCATTCCTGACCATTCCCGACCATTCCTGACCATTCCCACACCATTCCTAACCATTCCCGACCATTCCTGACCATTCCCAACCATTCCCACATCATTCCCGCCCATTCCCACACCATTCCCAACCATTCCTGACCATTCCCAACCATTCCTGCCCATTCCCAACCATTCCCCCACCATTCCTGACCATTCCCAACCATTCCCGCACCGTCAGTGCCGGGGCGGCTCCGCTACGTGGAGGATTCCGGCTCCTGCCTGTGTCGGGAGATGAGCTGGGCCTCCTTGAGGGACAGGTACTGCTCCTCCTGCGGGTCGTAGTAGTAGAACTTGCGGATGTAGGAGATCAGGGGCCTGGAAAAACACCGGGAAGAGCCGGATCCCTGAGCCAACATTCCCAGAGAACAACCAGAGCTTCTTCCATGGAAAATCATTGGGAAGAGCCGGATCTCTGAGCCAATATTCCCAGAGAACAACCAGAGCTTCTTCCATGGAAAATCATTGGGAAGAGCCGGATCCCTGAGCCACAGCTCCACTGAAATTCCCAAAATATAACCAGAGCTTCTTCCATGGAAAATCATTGGGAAGAGCTGGATCTCTGAGCCAACATTCCCAGAGCACAACCAGAGCTTCTTCCATGGAAAATCATTGGGAAGAGCTGGATCTCTGAGCCAACATTCCCAGAGCACAACCAGAGCTTCTTCCATGGAAAAACAGTTGGGAAGAGCTGGATCTCTGAGCCACAGCTCCATTGAAATTCCCAAAATATAACCAGAGCTTCTTCCGTGGAAAATCATCGGGAAGAGCCGGATCCCTGAGCCACAGCCCCTCCAACATTCCCAACCCTTCCAGCACCTCCACGGGAATTTCGGAGCTGCCTCCCAAAGCTCCAGCACGGCAGGGAACTCCTCATTCCCAAACCCCTCAGAATTCCCACCGCATCCCTAAACCCCACGGAACGTCAATCCCGCTATCCCCAAAGCTGGGAAAGTCAATCATTCCCTCCCAGATTCCCATGGAGGGAATTCCATGGATTCATCCACGAGGGAATGGCGGGACTCACTTGGGCAGCGGGAGCTCGGGAATGTGGTCGATCCGGACCAGCTGCCGGATGCGGAAGCGGCACAGATGCTGCAGGGATTTGACGTTGCTGAACCTGGAGACGGGATACAGGAGCTGGACGGGCGTCGGAGGGAGACCTTGGAATTTTGGGGGGAAAAAAGGAGATTTTGGAGATCAGGATTAGGCTGGAAAAAAAGCGGGAAACGTTGGAGGGTTGCGTCGGAAAGGAAGCGCCGCCGATTCCGAAGGGAAAGGGAATGAGGAGATTTAATTAAGGCTGGGATCCATCAGGAACGATGGAATTCTTGATTGTGGGATGGAATTCCATGGAATCGTGGAATGGGTTGGGAGGGGCTGCAAAGCTCAGCCGGTCCCACCCCGCGATTTCCAGTCCCGGATGGCTCCAACCTGGCCGAGTCCAAGGAATTTTTGGAATTATTTTCCCGTTTTTCCAGGGGCACACACAGGGAAATGAGCTCTGGGATGGGAAATTCCCCCCTGGCTTGCAGGGACAGCCCAAAATCACGGAAAACTCGGATTCTTGGGGCAGAGCAGCAGCTGATCCCAGAAAAAAATGAACCATTCCCAGGTTTACCTGGAATCCTGGAAAATTCAATTCCCATTCCCGGGTTTACCTGGGACCCTGGAAAATTCAATTCCCATTCCCAGGCTCACCTGGCACCCTGGGAAATCCCATCCAGGTTCACCTGGATCACAGGAAAATCCCATTCCCTAAAACCCTTGGAACTGCTATCCAGGCTCACCTGGAACCCTGGAAAATCCCATTCCCTGGGACCTTGAAAAATCCCATTCCAAGGCTCATGTGGAATGCTGGAAAATCCCATTCCCATTCCCAAGCTCACCTGGAACCCTGGAAAATCCCATTCCCATTCCCAAGCTCACCTGGAACCCTGGAAAATCCCATTCCCAGGTTTACCTGGAACCCTGGAAAATCCCATTCCCAGGTTTACCTGGAACCCGGGAACATCCCAAAATCAGGAATTTCCCGT